TAAAAATTCTTTATTAGGGATCTCAACTGAGTCAAAAACTTCCCCTGAAAGCAGTTACCGTTCATCGTGACTTTTGCGCATGTAAAGAGCGATATCTAACTGACTTCCTATTTGTTTTATCTCCAAGCAGAATGCACAACTAAAGAGACTCTGAATGTGAAAGTTTTCAATCCCAAGTATCAAGTACCTGAAGAGAGGTTACTTAAACTTTTAAGAGAAGCGAACCTCGAGAGTCATGGCTACAAGAAAGAAGTCGTCGACAAGATGGTGAGCGAGCCTGGTAGCGGCAAAAAAGGCACAGAGAAGTCTTTCTTGTTTTACCAGATTGTTGAGTGTTCACGCGCACGGTTGAGGGAGATTGATCAAGAGCTGAAAAACTTACTGCCAGGTGAATGAGTATAATTTTTAAAAGCTGTCCTCAACAACGAGCATTACTGTTTTTATTTGTCACCGTTTGAATTTGAGTGTGGGGAATGTACAAGACCTTTCAGACGTGTACTATAAAAGAAATTTCTTAATTCGCGGCAAAAATTAATCAGAGGTAAAAAAAAGTTCGAAATGAACAGTACATATACAAGCTGTAAACCAGTCACAAAATGAGGAAATCTTGTAATTATTACACTAAAGAAAAAAAGCTCACTGTTATCTTACTTGTTTTGTTATAGGTGTATTCAATAACGAAATGGTGAAAAAGATCAACAAAGAAATAGATGCCAAAGGTCTGACCAAAATGAAGCAATGCAAAGTGGGCTTGGAGATTCATTTCAAGCAACAATGTTTCGACAAAAAGAAAACTGTTCGTCGTCGCAAGCGTCGCTGTGGTATTTGTCTTTTTTGCTGGAGCGCAGCTTTTTCTGATTAGGCGTTTTCTAAGCTTAAACGCTTCCAAGCGCCCAAAAGGGTATCGAGTAAATGAGGGGTTAAGATTATAAATCAAGTTTTTACCTCAAAAATGTATTCCTTTCTTTGTTTCGATTAAGGGATCAATGTATTCAAGGTCTTTTAAGACAGATTGAATAAAAGTTGGGCAAATTTTGAAGGTCGCGTCTATCTTCGGTCGGTTTAAGATTGCTCTCATCTGAACTCCCCCCCCCCTACGTTGTTTAACAATTTGAGATGGTTTGCTGACAACCTAGTGATTTATACTACAACGCAAGATAAAATCCTTTTACGGCCGTAGATTGTTCGCAAAACCTCTCTGAAATCCCCGCCTGCCTTTACTTCTGCGCGCGTTTGACTCTAAATAAGACGCAGAATAATTATTGCAGCAAAAAGAGGCCCACGAAACCAACACTGCATTTTCAAGGCTATAGCTTGATGGGTGCTTTAGGAGGCTTAGCTTTTAAAGGGTTGGAGGACAATATTGAATTTACATTTATCTCGTAAATCAACATGAAAATAATGCAATGGCAAATATTCTGTCGGATAAGTCACATAAATGCGCTAACTAACTAAGT